CAAACTATATGTTATGGAGAGAGCTTCTCTTACCAGTCTTCAAAGGTGATGGTGTTTATGGATTTATTGCTGGAAGTTTTTCGTGTCCTGCTCCTACTATTCTTCGTGATGAAGTTACCTCTATCTAGAATCCTTCCTTTCAACAATGGATTCAACTTGACTCCATTATTCTTTCGTAGATTCAAGCAAATATTTCTCAAGAGATTCTTCAAGATATTATCAAGCCAAATAATTCTCTCACTTCTAGAGATGCGTGGCTTCAAATCGAGCGTTTATTCCGTGATCAAGTCAGTTCTCGGACACTTCAACTGAAAGTCCAGTTTCACAACCTTAAGAAAGGTAATCTTTCAATTAATGAATATATCCATCGTCTCAAGTCCATTGCAGATGCATTGACGTCCATAAGCAATCCAATTTTTTAATGTGATCTTGTTCTACAAATACTTTCTAGATTAACTCCAGAATATATGTCTGTGAGCACCTCTATCTCTATTCGTGTTTCTCTTCCTACCTTTATTGAAGCACTCTCTTTACTTTTTTCTTCAAGAAGCCCAATTAACTAGTCTCTCTAGTTCTTCTAAGGATAATTCCACCACTACTTTTGTGGCCAAGCAATAATCTTGTTCCTCTTATGGTCGTGGTCGTAATAACAATAGTGGGTGTTATTCCAATGGTTTACGTGGTCGAGGCCGACACACTCAAGGAAATACCAAATCTTTTAATGTTGAGCCTCAAGAATTCACTCCTCGTCTATGTATGTCTTCCATTCTAGGTCCTCCTCCAATTTCTTATCCTATTGCTTCATTCCCTATCAACCTAGTAATGTGAATCTTTACCGCCAACTTTGCCATTAGCCACACCACACTGTTCGCGATTGTCCGTCTTTAAATTCTAAGGCCTTTGTGTCAGACATTAGTTCTAACTACTTCTTTTCTTCACTCAGTGATGCCTCTTGATTTGTGGATACCAGAGAAACTTCACACATGACTCCAAATGCATCCAATTTATCCTCAGTTACTCCATACAGTAGCTTGGATCGTGTAGTTGTGGATAATGGAACTCTACTTCCTATCTCCTACACTGGACATGATACTCTCTATAACTACTTCTTTTATGATTTTCTCGCTTTTCGCTTAGATATATTTTAATTGGTCCTCATATTTCCACCAATTTATTAAGTATTCACAAATTTACTACGGATAATAAATTTTCCATAGAATTTGGTCCTTTTGGTTTTTTACTTAAGGAACCCATGACGAAGAGGCATCTCCTTCGCTGCAATAATCTTGGACCACTTTATTCAATTTCTTGATGTATATTATAACAAGGGAAAAGAGTCAAAAATACTCCTCTACTATGTGAAAAGGATCACTTATTCCCTCTGTTATACTTTCAGTCCACCATTGCCCCTGCCATTACAAAACTGGTGCGAAAATACCCTTCCTCCGTTTGGATCCTCCACCATGGCCACATGACCTGACATTTTGCTGAGGTGGATGCCAAGGTGCCACCTTGCTGCCCCCATCCCAATTTTATCCCAATCGTCCCACTTCTTCTTCCATCACCACTTATCCCTTCATTCAACCACAACAATCATCACCTCTAGATACAGATAAGCTGAGCGTAATGGCGTATTCTAATTCAAGTATCGATTTTGTTACCATCACTGTTGAGACCATTTATCTTGGAATAAAGGCTTGATCTTTTTTCCTTTCCTTTGACACCTATTACGTGTCTATTTCTTGTATGTGTACTGGTAAATAAAGTAAATGGATTGCCTTAGTATGTGACTAATTGACTAATTTAAATTTCTCAAGAATGGATGATGCGCTGCTTTCTTTTTGAACTATTTTTGGGCATTGATAATACATTGTGGGTTTACATGTATAATTATCCATTTTTTGTGCGAAGACAACTTTTTTTGGAGTTGCTTAATATGGATTATTAGATTGTAGATCCGTCTATAAGTTTTATTTTCTGTCTATCAAGTAATTTTTTTTACAAGAAGATTGACGTTTGAATTATCCGCCAGAGGTGGCGATTTTCTAAAGATCAATAAACACATGGTTTTTTTCATTTTCTTTTTCTTTTTCTTTGGTTATAGAAGAGCGCAAAAAAGTTGCACTTTGAATGGTGTTTCATCTTCTTTTCTTGTCTTAATTGTTGCAAACTCACTTTACAATTTCCAAATAATTTTTTTATTCTGATTGTTTAGCCTTTGATTTCTTAAAAATTCCATTACTTTTTTTGAGATCAAATCGAGTACTCATGAATAATGTTGATAACTGCTAAATCACTCGATTTAGTGATAAGGTTGGGGGTGGTGAGGTGGAATACCACTTGGTGACCAAACGGAGGAAGGGTATTTTTGTGCCAGTTTTGTAACAACCGGGGCAATGATGGATCGAAAGTATAACGGAGGGCATAAGTGATCATTTTTGCATAGTAGAGGGGTATTTTGACCCCGTTTCCCTTATCATTTTCGCATAGTAGAGGGGTATTTTGACCCCGTTTCCCTGATAATAAATACAATGCTATATATAATGTACATCTTCTTGTACATATAACGTACTTATCTTCTTATGTATAAAAACTAATTCAAAATAATTTAAGTAACATAGTTATCACTTATCAATATTAATAAACAATAGTAATATAAAAGATATGTATAACCATGTGTATTGAACCCTGACATTTAAGTCACACCTTTGGGTGAGGTATAATCGTTTTATGTTTGGGGCATATTTGTTCCAGTCCTATTTATTTATTTATTCTCTTGAAGGTCTTTTTCTCTATTTTATTTCATGGTATCAAAGCCAACAAGAGAATTAGGGTGATAAAAAAGTGAAGATCTTTATACTGACGCTCTTTTTCTATTATTTCTTTCTGTCATATCCTTAATAGCTGGTTGGTTACACCTACAACTGAAATGGAAACCGAGCATTTCTTGGTTCAAAAATGTCGAATCTCGTCTGAATCATCATTTGTTAGGGTTCTTTGGCGTAACGATCTATTACTACCAGCGCGGTTGTTCCTATTTCATTTTCTTCTTTCAAGTCCTTCTTAGAAAACACTCACTGAGTTACTTACACGGCTGGGGCCAGCTGACTAGTAGATCTAAAAGGATCCAGCTATAGGCCTGACCGATTATTGTTTGTTCACAAAAAAACAAAAAAAGTTGGTTTTTAGTAGTAGTTCATGAGACCTCGAATATTTCGAAATGAAAGATTGAGCAACTGCCAAACAGGGGCGGATTNATATATATATATAAGTAAAACAGTAATATAAGATAAAATTATTAAAAGAGAAACCACTTGTATGAAACAGCTGATTAGTCCAGCGGTTGATGGCTTCCATTGGCTGTGAGACGTCAAGGGATCAAACTCCCTTGGCTCAAATAGTTTTTTGCGTGTTTTCCCTTGACTCCCTTGGCTACTAGTTACGGGGGCCTATTACTAAAATTATGGGCTGTATTTAAAAACTACTTGACCCTAATTTGTTAAAAACCTTTCAGAAATAGGAATTGTTGCCCACTTTAAAAACAATTCTTTGCCCTCAATTAGCATAAAAACTACTTGACCCTAATTTATTGAAAACCTTTCTGAATTAGGAACTGCTGCCCACTTTAAAAGCAATTTTTTGCCCTCAATTAGCATAAAAAGTACTGCTGCCCACTTTTCAATTTTTAAACCCCAAAGAAGCTAAATTGCATCAGGTTAGTACTAATTCTTTGTCTCTTTCGATGATAGTTTTTTATTAAGTACTTATACTTTTATTTTTTTTATTTCTTTATGAATAGAACTGTGAATCTACTTTGTAATTTGAATTTATAATTAATTTTTTGGTGTATTTAATGATTTTGGGAGTTAACGAAGTTGTTAATTATAAATTATTGTCGTGCTGATCAATCTACTATTCATCACTTGCTTAGCTCGATGAATAGTGATTGTCGTTTTCTGTAATAGACCAAGTTATTAGATAACAAAATTAAGAGTTTAAGTTATCTAGAAAAACAAATAAGAGTATTACAAAATTGTAGTAGTAATCTTTGAATAAAGTGGATACTTAAATTTTTGATTCAGAGAATTACAATGAAGAGATTCTATACTGCAACTTCCAAAATTCTAAATTCAAGTTCAACATCTCAAGATTTATCTAATTTGGAAGAAAGGACTAATGAGTCGGAACAAGAGCAACATCAACACAGTGAAAGAGTTAATTTAGACACGTTAGAAGTTGATCCCGGGGAAAGATTAACAATTCTAAAATATCATCCAAATGACCGTGATGCAATACGAAGAACATATCTTCAAAGAGGTGCTTTCCAACCTCGAGAGCACAAATTTCCTCAAAGAAATTTTTATGGTAAATTGTGTCCCTTTAATCCTCAATGGTTTTCTGAATATGGTTGGTTGAAGTATAGCGTAACAATAGATGCAGCTTTTTGCTTCTATTGTTATTTGTTTCAAGATGAATGCATCAAACAAGGGGGAGGAGATGTATTTTCAAGCGTAGGATTTACAAGTTGGAACAAGAAGTATAGATCTGATATGCATATTAGTGGACCCAATAGTATTCATAATCAGTCAAGAAAGAAAAGTAATGATTTGTTGAGACAAAAACAATTCATTCAAAGTGTACTTGCTAAACAATCTGATCAACAAAAGCTAGAATATCGGATTCGTTTAGAGGCTGCAGTTGATGTGATAAGATATCTTTTACACCAAGGATTATCATTTCGAGGACATCGTGAAGATTAATCATCTCTCAATAGAGGTAACTATGTTGAACTTCTTAGATGGTATACTAAAAGGTGTGATCGTGTTGCCGATGTATTTAAAAAAGCTCCAAAGAATAATCAATTGACTTCTCCATACATTCAAAAGGATATTATTACTGCATGTAAGATAGAAACAGTTAAATGTATCATTGAGGATTTAAATAATGATCACTTTTCCATATTAGTTGATGAATCTCGTGATGTGTCATGTAAGGAGCAAATGGCTATTATTTTGAGGTATGTTGATAGAAGGGGAAGTGTGATGGAGCGATTTATTGGTATTGTTCATGTTCGTGAAACTATTACTTTGTCTCTAAAGAATGGAATTATTGGTTTACTTGCTCAACATTCTTTAAGTCCATCTTCCATACGGGGACAATGTTACGATGGAGCAAGCAATATGCAAGGTGATATAAATGAGCTTAAAATCTTGATGCAAAAAGAAAGTAAAGGTGCCCATTCTATTCATTGTTTTGCTCATCAGCTTCAACTAACTCTTGTTGCAGTGTCTAAAAGATGTGATGAAGTGCAAGAACTTTTATTGGTTGTTTCCGATATCTTAAATATGGCGAGATCTTATTTCAAGCGTAGAGATGAACTTCGCGAATTTCAAGTGGAAGAAATTGAAGAAGCATTACGTAAAAGTGAGCTTGAAACTGGTAGGGGCTTAAATCAAGAATTAGGTCTTGCTAGAGCTAGAGATACTCGATGGGGTTCTCACTTCAAATCCTTTAACAATTTTATTCTTATGTTAGGCCCTATCATTGATGTACTTGATGCAATTGCTGTTAATGCACGTTTTGAAGAAAAGTGTAAGGCAAAGGGATACCTTAAAGCATGTTTAACATTTGAGATTGTCTTCATGTTGCATTTTATGCGCACTATTTTAGCAATCAAAAATGAGCTTAATGTTGCCTTTCAAAAGAAAGAGCAAGATATTGCAAATGCTATGATACTTGTTAGAGTGGAAAAAGATCGATTGCAACTTCTAAGAGAGAAAGGTTGGGCTTCACTTATTGATGAGGTATCTAAGTTTTGTATCAAATATGACATATTGATACCTAACTTTGATGAACCTTATGTTATCCTTAGAAGATCACGTCGTAGAGTTGCAGAGTACAATTTTTTTCATCACTACCATGCTGTAGTATTCTGTAAAATTATTGACTGGCAATTTCAAGAACTCAATAACCGCTTTGATGAGGTGACAACTGAATTGCTTCTTAGAGTTGCTTGCTTGAACCCAGTTAACTCTTTTTCAAGTTTTGACATTGAAAAGATATTGAGATTAGCGAAGCTATATACTGATGATTTTGATAAATATTCTATAGTTGACCTTCATTTTCAGCTTGAGAATTACATTGTTGATGTCAGAGATCATGACAACAGGTTTTTCGATCTTAAGGACTTGGTGATCTTTATAAGAAACTAGTAAAGACAAAGAAGCATGGGACTTATCCTCTTGTATTCCGGCTAGTGAAATTTGCTTTACTTTTTCCAGTTGTTACGGCTACGATTGAAAGAGCTTTCTCAGCAATGAAGTTGATTAAGACTGACTTGCGTAATCGAATGAATGATGAGCTTTTGAGTGGTTTTTTGGTGCCTTATATAGAAAAAGAAGTATTTAGTAATATTTCTAATGAGGCTATTATGGATACATTTCAAAACATGAAAACTCGTCGAGGAGAATTGTAGTTACGTGCTTAAATTGTGTTTCGTTAATATAATTTAAGTTGTCTTTTTAAAATATGATATATTATATTACAATAATTTATTCAATTGTTCACTCTATTAAATAGTGACACCGCTAATAAAAATCCTGCGTACGCCACTGCTGCTAAAGATGGAGTTGCAGAGGGTAGTTCCGGTATGAGAGAGAAAGTTTGATTGATAAAGGGACAATGAATCCCCATCAAGTGTTGGGCTGAATAATATATCAACTACCAGGACCATTACTTTGCTTAGTCAGTACTTTTGATTTTATTCTTTGGGCCCAATTTTGTATAGGACACGACCCGGTCCAATTTGTAACTAAAGTCATGTTTGACTATATACTTCAATAGATGATTCTAGAATGAGACCGAAAAATATAATAAGAAAATATCTTTCCTTCTTCTCTCTTTTCTCTCTCTCTCGATTAGATTTTCTTTCATTTTAAAATTGCTTCGATTGACTCCGTTAATGGAGTCTAGCATGGTATCAGAGCACTCCAATCGATCTGCCTTACTCAGAGCTTTTGTCTGATGGTAACCATCAAGTTTGGTTCACTGATTTCGTTCAGATCGAAGAATATTCTGTCAGAACCTTTTGGAGATTTCCTAAGTTTTCATTTGTTTCTGTTACACCCCATGTTTTCGTATGTTAGAGTATTCATAAGTCAATTGATGTAAGCTCAGAAATGAGATCAACTTTGAAAGTACGTAAAGTAAGTTAATTGCCACGACCCAAACTGGAGGGCCATGACTAGCANACATGAGTCGACACTTGTCTATGAGCCTCTAAATGAACATAAGTGCTGCAACATAGCCGGAACAGGTCCCTGACATACCCATAATGTCTATAACAAAAATGCATACCAAGACCATGGCAAGTCCGGAGAAGAGATCTCGCAAATCACTGCTGAACTGGACAACCTACTGTGGTANCAATCAAGAAACTACATATAAGGTATGAGCTATCACGCTACCATGAAAGACTATACAACAAAAAACCAGTCGACAAGGCATACCAAACTATACATGAGTCGACACCGGTCTATGAGCCTCTAAATGAACATAAGTGCTGCAACATAGCCGGAACAGGTCCCTGACATACCCATAATGTCTATAACAAAAATGCATACCAAGACCACGGCAAGTCCGGAGAAGGGATCTCGCCAATCACTGCTGAACTGGACAACCTACTGTGGTGGGGGAGCTGCACCTGCCTGTCTATTAGGGCCTGCAGCACGACATGCAGCGTCCACAAACAAAAGGACGTCAGTACGAATAAAGTACTGAGTATGTAAGGCAGGGAACCATAAATACGAACAGTAATGTAAGCAGGGATAGAGAATATACAACCTGTAGCATCTGAGTACCTCTGAGGGCTACTGACATGAAATGCATGATACATATATATAAATACATAAACTTTTAAATCATACGCCTCTGTGGGCATAGTCATCATCATATCATACCCGGCCGTAATAGGCTCAGTAAAAAAAATGTACCCGGCCATCGTAAGGCTAGGTAGTATCATACCCGGCCACGTGAAGGTCGGTAAAACCCAACTGATCAGTGGTTGCACAATAGGTTCCTTACCCGACCGACTATAGCGCGACTTGGTAGAGTAAAATAGATACATATATATAATGCATGCTCGACTCATGGAATCACATTCTAAACCTTTCGGAGTGACGTAAGGTCGGTATCCTCTGTACACGTTATTAGGAC